CAAATGTTCAATCCGATGTTATCTTTTGAAATATTGCGATTGATTTCAGTTTCCATTTAAATAAATGTATTCGTAAATATTCAGATAAAATGATATAGTCAACTTCGTTGATATATGTACAGAACTTGTTTAGAGATTAGAGACGTACTTCAGTTCATAAGGTATGGAAACCTTCTATTACGAAGCTAAGTTCATATATATATATCAATCGTCTTCGAAACGGAAGTACTTTGACGGGAAGGAAGCTGATGCACGCTGTTTTTATAAGCATAATCTGCGTAAGTCTGAATTTGACTTAACACGTTATCAAATTTAATAGAGTCTGTACAGATCTTGACAAAAAAGGGTGAACAGTATTCTATTGTTATGGGAAGTCGTTTAGGTACGTTACCTTTTCCACGTTGTATTTATGACCGACTGGCGTGATTTCAAAGTATCCACGAAAATTGAACTCATATTCTGCAATATTTTTTGTGTATTGTTACGAAACTTTTATATTCAATGAAATAGGACTTGTGATAAATTTAAAAGAAATACACGCCATTTATACTAGTAAAAAAAAGAATAAATTGAAAGAGGAATTGGAGTTTAATGCATACTCAGTTATCTCGGGTCAAGATCCTTATAAAGATAGGAATGACCCCAAGTGATCCTTTCTTAAATTATCAATTAACTCAGTAAGCTTGTGACCTTCTTCATTTGCCAATTTATCCTTCCCTCTTACACGAAATAAGGGTCCAGAGAGGCGGTTGACAATAATGTGGACAATGTCAATATTGTTATGTTATCGGTTGCTGGTAAGAAGACGACGCGAGAAAGAAGTATCACAAAACACCGCATGCCTTATATCGTTAATCATAAACTTTAAATTGAAAAGTAATGTCTATAAATAACGGTACGTTTTTTCCTACTTTTACAGAATTCATGACACATTTTAATATTCACAGAATATGTCAACTAATTACCAGTGAGTTTCAGACACCAAAAACACTGTTTAAAATATATCGTCATCCCTGTCATTATTTGTGACAAAAACAGAGATGACAATGCATTTTAAATGGAGATTTGGGTTTCGAAAACTCACGATAAATCTGTTATGTAGCCAGCAATACGATTATTCCAATGTAAATGAAGACAGAAATAATAATATCTATTAAAACTTATTACTTAGAAACTCCTCAGATGTTACCCTTGCCGACAATAACAAAATCAAATCGCAACATTTACAAAATGAGGTCCAGTTATTATGCGAATTTTATGTGTTTTGTTCCAAATTATTTGTTATAAATAAATTTTTATTTCTGTGTTTAGATTTCTTTATCTTACTTATTATATTGTATTTCATAGTTATCTATCAAATGTCAGCGATTTTAAAATAGCGTATTTTCTTCATTTTTTTGTGCTATGATTTATAATAATAAAAAAATAAATTCTCTGCATTTATGACACTCTTTTAGACTACTTTAAGTACAAATAATAAAACATGATCCTCTGTTTAAGTCGAAAATAAATTCTTGGTAAAAAGGTATGTTCTTGTTTTATTTCATAGTGACAAATATTTTTGTGGACAAACGTCATTCTCTTTAAATTATAATAAATAAAATAAGATTCGCCCCTGCTATTATTAATTAAAAGTGTAGATTCTTTTGTTTTCACTCGTTTTAGTTTAGTTTTAGTTTTAGCATATTTAAAAAGGCCCAGGCCTCATTATAAAAAAAAACTTGATCTTTTCTAGATGTGCCAATTTTAATATAATTTTCTTGCGTGAAATGTTATATAAAAGAATCGCAATAGCTTGTATAGATATAAAATATCAAAGGAAGGCAACAAATTAACAAGAGTCCAATCTAATTAAGACCGCGGCGTCCGTAGGCAATAGACGCTCGGTTTATCAACAGTATAAGTGAAACGCGCGCCATTACCGCCCTCTATTACACTGTTAAGGAGGCGAGACGGTACGGGATATTAATTGGGATGTCTAATTAAGTGATTACATTCTATGTACGAAAGTTTCAAAGATTAACATATCTTTGTTATTTCATTTTCTTTTTTATATCGGTCGGTATAAAGATTTAATTGTGTATTGCTTAATAAGTTTCGTCACTCTCCAATTAATATATTAATAAATGTTTATTTTTCATCTAATACTTAATCTGTGTTAAACTTAATCTATGAAAAAATAACGTTGTTATACTATGTCATAATTTGTGGTATGTTTAAATTGTGGAATTTATTTTGTCTAATTTATTACCGACTTCGTAACATAAATGTTAACCGGATTAAAGTAATGTTTTATTTTAATTAAGCTTAATTAAGTTGCAAGCAAAGGCAATTCAAGTAAAGATAATTAAAATGGAAAACGCTGACGAACAAACAACTCCTTCAAACATTGTGGCCTAAACTCACAAAATAATTTTATCAAGTTTTTCGCAGAATTTAAAAAATACGCGTAACTTTAAAGTCGCAGTTTAGACACAAATATTTAGAAGTTGATAATATTTAAAATCTACGATAATAATGCCCTTCATATCTTGATCTAAAAAAGGGTCTTGACAGACAGACGGACGGACAACAAAGTGATCCTATAAGGGTTTCGTTTTTTTTTATGAGGTACGGAACCCTAAAAATATTTTATTCAAAATACATATATTTTACATTTATAATATTAGAATGTTTATGACTTTTCGTTCCTTAAAACTATGTATATTATAATTTTAGAATATTACGAAACGCGTAGGTTTTGATACATTACAACAATACGCACTGAGTAGGTTGATAAAATACGAAGTTGTCAGCCGAATTATGTTCTCCTGACCTTTGAATTTTTTAGTCACTCTGTTATTTGTAAGTTTTTATTTATATTAAACATGTTAGGAGTTTTTAGAAGTTTCTATAACTGTAACAAGTACGACCTCTAGACTATCGTTTAAAAAAATAATATATTATTATTGTATCAAATATATTTAAACAACTTGACTTACATTTTTTCATAGCATTTTACTATAGATTTGACATATAACTTAAAATAAATTTCACTGTTCTTATCAATTAAGCGCTAATGGCTTTGGAAACCTAATCGAAGCTTCGCAAAGACAATGAAGCATCAATTCTGTATAATTTGTAATTATGATGCTTTCTACAAGTCATTCTTTCGGTTCTTAGAATCGCTCTTTGATACATTTTCCAATTGATATTTTAATTTTTATTTTCCTTGAACTTTTCTTACTATCAAATATCACAATAAAGCGTTTTATGACTTCAATTGCCTTTTCTAATAAATGAATATTTTTTAACAGTGAAATTTTAATAGTGGTAGAGCCCGCTTTAACATCTTCGCACGAATTGGCCCGGCTCGCCCGGTGAAATACCACGACCTCACAGAAGACAGGCGTGAAGTAGAAGCAATTCCGCGTTTCGTCTGATGAGTGTGCGCCCCGGAGGCCTTATTTGGTCTTCTTTCCCTACCCCCTCTTTTTCTTATAAGGAAAGTATGGAAAGTGGAAGTGGACGTTCCGGATGAGAGGATGCATGGTTAGGGAAAACATTTTCTTTCTGTGCATCCTCTCCTCCGTCAATTAAAGGAAGGCAACGCATATGCAATTGCGTATGTCTATGGGCAACGGCCACTTCGCTATTTCAGCGATTTCAGGTGGCCGCTCGTTCGTTTGCCACCTTATAATATAAAAAAATTCTCCACCTAGGAAAATAAATGTTTTTTTTTTTAATAGAACAAGGTGGTCCATTGCTGCATGATTTTTTGTGGGCTTTACTACTGTTAAAATGAATAATCTATTGTTTCAAAATTTATAACATTCTTTGTATGCATTGCGGTTAAGGGTTCTCCTACTGCCGAATGTTGCTACCATTTAAAAATAAAAACATGGACAGTAAATATTGTAAATACGGCGGAGTAGTTCACGAAGTGCATGAGTGACTCTGGCACTGCTATCTATGTAAATGTATGTACATTTACACGTGTACCGCATTTCGTCCCATGGGAAGTCGCAACACGCTATGTTAAATTATAATTTACGTGTAACGAAATTTTATTCTTCATGATATTATTACTTGCTATCAGTTTTCGTTTTAAATTAAACTTAGCCATCTATAGAAATAAGGGTCTATATACACGGACAGCTCCAAGCAGACGGCAGCGACAGTTTCAAGGAGTCGGAGTGCGGTTTTTTAGCGACGACAACAATATGTCTGTGTACATGAAAATCGATTAGCGGTCGCTAAAATCAGTTTAAATTATTGTTTCAATATGTATATGATACTCGTACAAGAGACGTGACTCCGTGGCAATCAATGTGTCGTAATGCTTCCCTTGATTATGACATGTTGGAAAAAGTTCCGTCAAATAAACGGGCGACTCATTTAGCTGATTTTATTGCTCATGAATTTAAATTTATCGCATAACTTTTGATGTAGGCCTTTATGAAATTGAAAAGTCGTAATTTGACGTCCAAAAAGTTTGTTTTTGTTACAAACGGGTCAAAGTTTATATGCTACTGAATTTAATTTACAAAAATATACAACTGAATTGATTTACTTTATAATTCTTAGTTTAAATTTGTTTGTTTTTAATTAAATAATGCATTTAAATGATTTGTTACCTACAAACATTAATACAGATTGTTTTTTTTATGTTGTTAAGTGCCTACAATTGTTCATAAAAAAAGTAAACCGCACTACATCCCTGATAACAATAAGTCTAGCTTCTTTTTATCTTCAAAGGTAAGTATAACAATTCACGGTGAGAACAGACAATTTTCTTGGCACATTGCCCAAAGAAGTAGAGCTTCGTGTTAATTTTAGTTTTTAGGTTATCGCAAAAATGTACCTCAGATAATTATCACGAAGATATTATGTACTTTTATTAGTATAATTTAATAATTAATTGTAGTGTATGCATAAACGTAATGTTGTTTGTCTCGAGCGTACACGCCATAAGTACATGCCGGAGAGAGGGGACGTCAGTCGATGTCAGACCTTTGGACCGGCAACACGTGTTGGTGAGTGAACGAGCCAAATATAACGCAAAGAATGCTACATTACTGATCAGCTCCTAAATGTCCCTATGGGGGGCTCCACTCTGCTCTAATTTAGCTATGACTAGGTTTTGTTCTGATTATTAGGTACATTGAATTCCTAGCAAATAAGTGCAGATATAAAATATATAGTAATAACACATTTTAATTACATTAAATAGTAGTACGTTTGAGTGCTTTCACTTTTATATATTTACACGCCTAATCTCACTAATAATATAAATGCAAATGTTCGGATGTATGGATGGAGGGATGGACGTTTGTTATAAAGTATTTCCGGATCTACATGGATCATGTTGAAATTTGTCATAAATGTAGAAGATAGTCTGGAAGAACAATAATAAACAATAATAAGTTTTTTTTTTATTCCACGCAGCCGGAGTCGTGGGCGACATCTAGAAGTGATATATTTTAGTACCCTGAAGTATAGAAATAAAAGTCCCAATAGCATGATTTTTACTTTTTATGGTAGTTATATGTTCTCAGGCAGTATCTTCAATAATGTTTTTTTAAAGGATAAAGTTAGAGCTTCGGGAATCGTATTTCGTCAAGATATGAAATACAATATAGACAACATATTGTAAATTTAATAACGTTGGTTTTCACAATTAAAAAATATATTTTATTATTAACTTTAGCTAGCAAACAGCTGATGTTATGATTTATGGAATTATTTTTTAAATAGAGTGTTCGTTTCCGGTTGAAGTGTGCTTAAGCTTTAGCATTGACAAGTTTCCGCTTGTTATAATAATGATGGCAAGCTGCCAACAGAGGGCGTCATTATTGCATTGCATTTAATTTTGCTCTTGTTATGAAAAAACTAAAAACAAATTCGCTACTGAAATTAGTTATTATGTAGGTTTAACTTAAGCAAATGAGAAGCTAATTCCTTTATTATGGTCCATTCTTTAGGATGACTGACTCTATGCAATGCCACTAAATCGCCATAAAAATGTTTTTTTAGCTTGTAATAAGAAAAAACTAAGGTGGGAATCATAATATAAAAAGGCTATTTATAATAATAAACATATTCCTTAGACTAATCTGTTACTTTTAATAACCGTATTCTTATTAAATAGGTCGTTTTTTTTAGGTCAAGTGCAGTATATCTACATCCTATAGCTGAGGAAACGACGCGTAAAAAGTTCTCCAAGATGTCAGACTACAAAGGCGGACAGGAAAATTATGCAACGTGCAGTACTAAACTACTAACAACTATGTCATACGAGTTCTTTTTCTTTGCCGGCCTAAAATATATAAATAAATGACTGTAAAATAGCACATATGTACAGTCAGCCCCATAAATATGTATACATTTACAAAACTTTGGAAATTTGTATGGGCCTTCGGTTTGTAAAATAGGAATTCGACCATGGCATGTATTCATACATACGTTTATATGAATTAAAAAAAAACAAAATGGAAAATTAGGTGTGTAGTTTTCAAACAGATAAACATCTTTAAAATCTGATTAGGTAAGACAACTTAAAATACAATAGCAGTTTTGAATATTTTTATACAAATCCCTTTTGCTAAAAGTTCGCTAATCTGTTTAGTTCAATATATAACGAAATATATGAACATCCATTTAACCGGCTTACTTTTACGATGTCGGTTATTTATTCATTTGATGTTTTATCATGATGAATTTTTTTCAATTTTACCAGAACATAGTGAATTAAAAATGTTTCGCAAAATTGCATTATTCATTTCATAAAGCACCCAACGACATAATAAAATTAACCGCTGCTCTATTGTGAACTTTTATTTTCAAGGAAGTTAAGGAAAAAATTCACGCGAATTTCTACGTATTTTCTCTGTACTTAAATCAAATTTATTACCATAGATTTCCACTGTTTAAACACTAGAAGCAAAATATATTTTCAGTCACTCTGTTTGAAGAAATGTGTATTAGAAATCAATGTAAATAAGAAATTGAAACAAATATTACCTTTATAAGCACTTTGACCTTTATAAGGCTTTAATCTCTGTATCACTGAAATTTTAACGCTTATCTTTTTAATTACATTCACACATTTTTATGGCTGACAATAAATGACATTGTCGGCCAGTAAAATGTAGAATTATAATTTATCATATCTATTGAGTTTTCTACTATTCAGTGACAACATCGTATAAAATATACGTAAGTAATGCCAATTTTATTAGTTTTTGTTTCGTTTTTGTTTTATTTCAATTATGTAATAATCTAATTAATTGAATTTAAATCACAAACAAGAATACTGTGTGCATAAAATATGAAGGTCGGTACCGTTGATGTTGGCTTCCCTGTGTTTGTAACTAATCAATAACATTGCCAATAGATGCACACTACGTAACGCCGATAATATCGATATTCAATTACACCTAATCTTAATTCTACCTGATTGCATCGGAAGAAAATTAAATTCGAAAACTTTTGCCTATAAACACTTGACTTGGCATTTTTGTAACGATATAAAAAAAATTACCACATTGGTTATAAAATTAGATAAAACTATGAAACAAATAAGATATAAAATGTGGCGGAAAACATCACACGCATCGAATTATATAAATGATAAGTTTATCTCTAAAGAAATTAATTTTATAAACGTGAATAATTCTAGAAAGATAATTTCATATTTGATAAGCCTATTAGTTAAGGTCGCTTGTTAGGTTTATTATATTAATGTTCTATGCCTTCGAGACCTGTCTGAGCTCATTTGGATCGTCCTACGTAAATATTTTTATCTTATTAGTGCTTTTGTGGAGGTCTTCGTTTAAGTTGTGTTGGTATTGTGTAAAAATGGATCTTTTATGAAAACGTTGAATAGAAACGTAATTTTCGACAAAGAACAGTCCCTTATAATATCTTTTGATGAATTATTGTAGGCTTTTAAATTTTAACATTTTTTTTAGTTTGATATTACGTAATTTTATAAGAAAATTTAAAAAAATCAGGGTCAAATGTATAGTTTTTAACCGTAATATGTTATTGTTTTTGTCACAATTCACTATTTTTGTGAAACAATTCATCATCATCATCATTAGCTTACTATACGTTCCCACCGAGGGGCTCGGAGCCTACCCAAGTTAGGGGTGACTAGGCCATAGTCAACCACGCTGGCTAAGTGCGGGTTGGTTGACTTCACACATAACTTTCAATTTCTTCTCAGATATGTGCAGGTTGCATCACGATGTTTTCCTTCAGCGTAGGAACGTCGGATAAATGTACATATGTAAATGAAAAATTGAAAATCACATCAGTACATGGTGGGATTCGAACCCAGTACCTGCAGATTACAAGTCAAGTCAGATTACAAGCCTAAACTCCTGCAGCCACGGACGCTTGAAATAATAATTTATTAAAAAATGATTCGCGGAATTAACTCTCCATTATCTAATTATTCAAACTTTCGTGAGACATTATACTAAACTGATATATAAACACGGCTAAACACTCACGTATATACGTCCGGTGGCGGCACCGACTAGTTTCGTGCCCATCGGGGGCCCTTCATCAGGATGAGTGGTACTGGCCACTCATCCTGATGAAAGGCCTCCGTGTGTGTGTTTAGCCGTGTTTATATATCAGTTTTCTCCATTATCTCTTTAATAAGAATAGATAAAAGGTGGAATAGAATTGAATAATGTCTCATACAAGACCTAGATGTGTTAGACCGTTATGCATATTGTATTACATTATACATGTCTATTATCCACTTGATTGAGTTTTCGTGATTACAGACATGATTGACTGGAATGAGATTAACGCTGGCGTGCGATAAACGCGCCTAGTTTGCAGGTGCTAGCAATTATATCGCCAAGATCTAGAATTAATTGTTGTTTATCATTCCAATATGAACTTTATGTGTTAATTCTGTAAGTGCTTTTTTTAAATTGTGTATTCTAAATAAACCCTCATACTAAATAGAGATTGTCTTAACCAATTTAATTGACTTATAACGGCCATAGATAAATTATTGAGGTTATTATCTCTTTTTAAATCATCACTTGTCAAATAGTGGATTCTAAACCATCATGTTTTTAGTTTTTATTTTCATTTCGTATTCAAAACATCGTTTAAAATTGTCAAATTAATGCTTGACCGGCAGAAAAATATTTTATTTGCGGTCTTATAGACCGACAAGGCTACTGGAACCAGTGGGCGTAAGTCAAACTAAATTATGTCAGCTCACTAGCGCCCCCGAATCAATGTCAAAAAATGTCACAAGATCCCTTAGCAGCGCCTTTGTCATAGGTTCAGATATCCTTGCTTGATGTACGTAGACTTCTTTTATTTTTAGAGAATTTAACATTTGGTTGAGTACAACCATTATGTTTTTCGATGAATTTCATATTCGTATGATGAAAATGATGATATGAACTAAAAACTATATCGTGCACGCGTATAGTTTTAATGTTAAATGAATGTGATAAGTTAAATTAATTTATGAGTAATAACACACACACAAACACACACAGATGCAACTCACAATATTATCTCACAATAGTGATCACTTTCCATGAAATATGCCGATTGATTTCCAGTCCTCCACTTACTATTGAAACAAATTCAATTTCTGTTCGCGTGCACTTCGTAATTACGATCATATTTGAAAACGATTTCTGAATTTACTATCCACATTCAGTATTGTGTTACCCAAACAATTTTATCTATGTATCTTACATACGAATCTTTTTTATTATTGAAAAATTATTTGTACAATTACGATGTTTCGAAAGTTTTCCGTTAAAAATTATTTTTACTATTTTAGGCATCTACAAACTATGCTATTAAAATTACTTTTTGCATTTAGGTGTGCATAGGCTGGTGTGAAAAGTGAATAGTGATCGCTATCATCGTCTATCCTGCCAGGATAAAAGACGCGACAGATTGTTTTAAATTTTAAAAAAGTTTCATTTCTAAAGCTCTTTTTCTACACGATGCTATGAAATGGGGATGGCGATATTTTTGTCATATTGTCATGAAGAAAATTGTCGCAAATGTCGCAGTAACTTTTACAACCGCGTTTTGACATCTCCTGACATGCAAAATCTCTTTCAAACCACCATTGTCTCTCTTTCAAACTACGTCTGAGAAAAACGAAGGAAAAATATTTTAGCTGATCGTAAGCTTCAGGGGTTTTTCGGTGTAGTTTCACACGTTAGGGATTACTCTATAAAATATCGAAGTAGCGACGTCAACAGGTTATTTCGCCATATTGAAAAGGTAGTAAACGAGTATGTCAGCCCCTCGGGGAGGTATATATCGAAGAGCGAAGTATTACGTTTCGGAAAGGTCTACGCCGTAGCACTTCGTATAAGTTAAATTTTTACCTTGGCGAGATATTTATGTCTACATATGTCTACCATACGACGTATATGTAAAGCCCAATTTTATATTAGCATTACTAAGACTTTTACTTTTTCTTGTCATATATTTTTCATACGGTACCACTCAGTTTAACGTCCTTTTATAATGTTACGTAATAATTTCGGAATTAAGGAAAAATAAAGAACAAAAGTCATGACCGAACGTGAATCTTCATTTCTTAATAACTTTTTATTATAATTTGTTTGCACGAACTTATTAAATTGGCTTAACTAAACTATACGATCTATAACATGTTTACATTTGTAGTACATGGTGTCTGTATTCTGGATCCTTAATAATATCTGGTTAGGGCATTGTTATATGTCAACAAAGTATTGACTTGAAGAGGATATAAGCAAAAGTGTGGTATAAAGATCTGTTGAGCTCATTTAATGAGTCTTGTTATCGAACCGTCGATTGCAAAAGTAATGTTATTCTTCATTTAATTGGTAAACAAACCAAAATTTCTGTATGTAAATAAATCTAAAGATGTAAAGATACTTTAGAATTCAAATTATCACAAAAGAAGGGTTATATCAAAGGAGGTCTCAGGGGTGTCACATAATTTGGGGACAAATATAAAGACACTCACGGCCCCGCTTTGTATCACAGGACAACTGAAACTTCGCACTCGTGGGAATTAATATTCTGACTATAAATAAAAAGGTTTTCTATTTACAGATTTGTTCTTTGACTTTGACGAAATCGACATTACCAACATGTAAAAAATTTTTATTGAAATGTTATGATTGTAAATGAGATTAAGGATTTGCATTCGCTTTAGAGTTTAAAAAAACGTTTTTACTAAACATATAATTTAAGGTAAAAATGTAAGTAATCTTACTTTTTACCTTTATGTGTTTTGGTAGTACTCTAACGAATCTGTAGCTGACCTATGTAGT